TTAATCAGAAATGTGCGGGCTACAATCATGCCTCATTAAGAAAGGTTCGGGTTATTTTTTGAGGTTTCTGAAAGACTGGTTTTCTAGAAAACCAGGTCTTCGAAGGCCTAGTAGCAAAAACCATTGTCATATTCGGAATCAGCATAGTCGATAACCTATTCTCCACTAGATTTCAAGAAAAAAGCAAGCGGACACTTGGGGCAGTTCCCTCGTTAGTGCATATCTATGCATAATAAGTGAATCTAGTTCACATGCAGTGAATGTCAAGTACATGACAAGTAAACAAACGCATCCACCATTGTAGTGTACAGGAGTTTTTTGCACTGTAACTACTATATGTCGATAGTCATATGCCGTTTAGTATCAAATAATGGATTTTTTACTTTTAAGAAAAACCATGTGAAAATATCCCGTAGGTCCTTTTCCAAAATATCTTTCAGAAGAACTGAAGAGTCAAGACTCCACCAGGGTCAAGTTTAGATATATTATACTGATAAATTATTTTCTATTTTTTTGCAGTAGAAATGATGGTTCCTTTATTTGAAAATGAATTAGAGAACATGCAAAGTTCGGTAGTGTAGTAGAATATCTAGCAGTTTGTTAACTATAGAGTGAAAGAGCACTGAAAACGGTAGCTCTACTGACTAGACTCATGACAGTAAAGGTGACGTATATGTTTTTAATTCTGTCATGAACACATTTTCTGTCATGAATCTAGTTAGTAGCGCAACAGCTTAGTTATTCGTCCTAGCAATATTACTTAGACGTCTAAAAATAATCTGACAATAATTTAGACAAAATTTGTTTTTGTACTATCAAATGCACAAGTTATAATGAAAAGTATTAGACCAAGGAGGAATGTCATAGTACGAATTGGTTTTGTGCTGACGTTGTATTCGGCCATTATCTTGTCAATATATCATATACTGAAAAACCGAAACGTTTCCGGTAGAACGAAATCTATGTTTTCCAACCTCGAACAAATAACAGTCGAACGGACATATTCTGACGAAGACGAACCGAAGAAACTACCACAAATATCTATTCCGTATTTTCGATCGCGACTTAACTCCAGCAGACGTTATTCAAAATTCCGCTGTGCTGGCAACGATAATCATCTCCGCTCATGGCAACAACGTGTTTGCGTTTTTAACAATATTTGCTATAATGTTAATAATCAACATTTTGAATATTATCGCTATCCTCAAATTCAACCCAAACCAGTATTTTTTGATGCCGCCAAAAGAATGTTGACGGAATTTAGTCCAAATGGAGACGGCAAAGGATTTGTGCTTTACTCAATATCTCGTACACCCCGATGGCTGTTTACATGGGCACCATTTATGATCGACACAGCAGTTCCAACGGAAAACGTTACAAGACTATCCAATCTGCATACTCTTTGGAAAGTTTCCACCAATGATTATAATATTGGTCATATGATTTGGGAAGACTTTTTTATGATATACTATGCAATGGAACGAATGCAAGAGTTCGATGATTCTATTGTTATTATGCATGCAGACAAAATTCCTAGTCATCCATTATTTAAAAAGCTTCAGAAAGAAATTTTATCGGCATTAACACCTCGTCCAATAGTCGAACAGAAAACGTACTTGTCGTCATTTAAAACAAGATACGTTTGTTTCAACAGATTTATTATTGGTGGTTCAATTCTTCTCTATCAGCCCAGGAACACGGTTATTCATCACCGCGATGTTGAATCGTTGCTTTTCAATTGGCGAACTATGATAATTCATCATTTTAAACTTGATCCCAAATATATTCCGACAAAACATCGCATAACCATATCAAATAAAACCGACTCGGCTTGGACCAGAGTTGCGCGACGTAATATTGCCAATTTGAACGATATTGTTAAATTTGTTAAACAAACGTATCCCACTATAGAAGTAAATGTTGTTGTTTGGAAAAAGTTATCTTTCCGCGAACAAGTTGATATTATGTTAAAAACGACGATTTTCATCACGCCATCTGGTGGTGTTTCAATGATGGCGCCTTTCCTTCCTATCGGGGCACACATCATAACACCAGATTTTTTAAGCGATCGAGATATGCCCGGTTTCAAAAAAGGTGAGAGCGTGGCGCTAGAAGGAAACTTCTGGGCATATTGGCCGCATGTACATAAGGACTACTATCAGATTTTCTCACGGAAAGAACAAGTATGGGATTTTGCGAATGCAGCATACTCTCGAGATGAAGCATCTGTGATTATGAATACGACTAGATTGGGTATGCTTATAGACAAAGCACTCGAAGACATGTCTCCATGAGAAATATGCTCAGCTTTTTAATCCAAAATATTATGTTTAGATAGTGCAAAAATATTATCACCGCAACTGTTACTATATCTTTATGATTTTTGCTAGTTATCTAATTCAGATGTTAGTGTCGGTCGTTCACAACTAATCCGTAGGTGTCAGTGTTCTGGAGCTGCCTACAGATTGGATTACATAGAGATTTTTGCAAAATTCTCATAGAAAGCCGAAAAATACATGTGAATCGTAAATCCACCTCTGGTAATCTCTTACTTATTATTACACAAGAATAGATTTTCGATGACTCAGCAGCGCGTACAGATACATGATACGTTACTTCGGTCTGGTATCCACAAAGAAGACTTATTTCTATATGGTCTATCTGGCACTTCAGTCTGTGAAGATGAAACATTATGTTTTTCGACAGATGGTCATCGTGTCATCAAGTTGAGCTGATAGACCCAATGTTAGAAAATCTCAGTTTTCTCGATTCCTACTTTCAATACTTTTAGCCTATTAGTTGGTGACTGAAAGTCGAGTAATACTGAAAATAGTTGTGTGCGGCTGATCAGACAAGGAAACTCATGAAGTTTAACTAGCATTAAAAGTTAGTTCGAGGTTATAAATAATTGACTCTGGCATTCAGTCGAAGTTTATGTGTACTGCACATGAAGGTCAGCTGTATTAACTGCCAACGGATTGCATATTTTTCTTTTATTGTTCATGCGTGCTTGATTGCTATTCATTTTGCCATCGTTAGCCGATTTAATCTTATAACTGAAGGATTGAAAAACAATGATACTTACTTAACGAAAAAACGAGCAGAAGTTTGGATTGCCATTAGATGCCAATCGAAATATTTTCGCTATTTTTATTATACTGCGGCGTTTTTAGCGTTGCATCTACTATTAAGTCTTTCTAATATATGTAGTTTTATGTTTAACAAGTAACGTTCATCTGATCGTCGACTGAAAAAATTGCAGAAAGCGGTTATTTAATAGGACTCGTTTAAGGAGAGTTAGTGTCGCCTGGAAAACACATGCAACTAAATAGTTTAGAAGGGCCCACTTCGGTCTGCTGAGTATTCTCTGCAGAAACACACGTTCAGCAACAAAACTGGAAGCAGAATCCAGAAAAGCTCTGTCTGTATTCACCTTCAGCAATCATATTCTCTACCATCAATAGCATCCCACAATCCACCCCAACGATTGTAAACAGTAGGAAAAGATATTTCGACCAATAGCTTGTGGCCATTTTCTGATTCGCCACGGTCGAGTACCTATCCTGTATTGGTTTCATCACTAAGCTCACTCCCTTTATACCACTTTTATATTTTGAAAAAGCTGCTTGACTTCGGTCAAGGGAAAAAGTACGCTGTGACTAAATCACCCTATCGTTATCAAGAATTCCTCATTTAATTCATTTAATGAATTATGTTGAATGTTTTTTGTTGTCAGATTTTTGAAGAAAACTAAACTTTTGCTGATATATCGCATATATTCACACACAATATGGAATTCCTTTTTAAAAACATTAGATGTACCCGTAATATGGATTACAAAGTTTTTATCATAGATAGCTCTTTCCTGCGTTTCAGGGGCGTTTAGTCCAAATTCTACTCTTTTACTTTTACCATGAAAACATCAAGAAAAAAGTTATGAATCATCGTGCTATTGTAGAGAAAATTTAGTTTTTTAAATCCAGAGAGTTTTACTGTAAAAGAACAAGACTTTTTTCAACAAAACTGTTAATCGTTGTGTAAATAAGCGAAAAAGAGATTTTGCTTAAATTTTGAATTATCAGTACCTTACTAATAGTAACAATTTGTTTTATTTTAAGTAACAAAATAAAAACAAAGATATCTTTTTTTCCTTATATAAAATCTATGTATTTGATTTTTATCTCTAATTGACAGTGCACTCTAAAAAAAGACGAATTCTCTGGAAAATTGAAACTGTATTTTTTATTTGTCCCAAATAGACATCTAACGTCAGTTTTCTGGAAATTTATAAAGCTCATTTTTTCATTTTCTGATAAAAGAATCAGCATCATTAATACTGTTTTAGTACTCTCAAGGTAGGTACTCATGCATATCGCCGTTGCCAATATTGTATCATGAAGAGACTGGGTGTTTTTATTAATTATTATTTAGTAGTCAGAACACTTCGTATATTTTCTTGTTTATTCAACTTCTGTTAAGGGTCATCTGAACTATATCATGTTTACTCTGGTAAAAAAGACTAGTAGTTCAACGTTAAATAAATTATTCTACGCTCTTGGCAAAAAAGTATAATCATACTATAAAATTTGTTGGTAGAGCAGTTGGAAATAAGTATTTGTAAATCGAATATAGAACTGCTATGAATTATTCATAGCAGTTCTATATTCGATTTACAAATATATAATCATACTGTTGATATTCGTCTACTGTGGTTCTCGTATATAGTAAACAAACACGAAAATCTATCCAAACTACTTTCAAGTGCCAAGAAGTGCTTTGTTTCACATGTGCTATACTTCAGAATTTAAAAAAGGTTTTGAGAATGAATACGAAACATTTTGGTTGATGAAAGGCTTTCGAACAACCTATAGAAGTAGGATAGGTGTGCACCAGTTCCATAGAACCGAAGCGGTGCGTACCTTAAGTAGGAGAATGTTTCTTATTCTTTTCTCTTATAAGTATATAATTAGATTAAGCGGATAAAATCACGAATATCTTGATATCCTGAAATAGTTTGGATGGATTTCCACTGGGTTATGAGCTTTTCAATGTTCCTTGGAAATAGCAGAGAATGAGCTATTTAACATGACATAGGCTTTCACTAAGTTCTTGGGTTTTGTTCCGAAAACAAACATTGCTGTGAGACTCATTATTTTCAACTATTATTGAGTTTGTCAAAAGTTATCAAAAGCAGATCTTGGGACTTCTAGGAAATTCGATGCCAATGCGAAACGAGGAAAAATGAAGAGGACAGAGGACTCTTGAAAAAAACTCTCTTTCATTTTAAAGTGGACACGCTGGATTATCCAACCGTGAAAAATATCAATCGATTGATATTATAACTTCGTGGACAATGGGCTGATTTTCCAAAAATATCATCGAAAAGAAGTTGAAAAGGAGCGATCCGCATAAGACTTGAAATCAGCCCACTAAATTATTATTATTAATTACCTCAATGGATCCAGAACTCTTGGTGCTTTCGCCTTTATGGAACAATTGCGGCTGGACGTATACAATCAAATCTGCTCGCAGAAAAACAATCCCGTCAAAATGGCACAGAAGTGTTCTATTTATAAGCTATTTTCCTTATTACATAAGATTGTCTTTTTTTGATCAATCATGAAAATTGATTGAAACAGATTGACTCGAATTGATCCCGTTTGAAAAAATAAATTTGCTTCATCCAAAAAACCGAGCATTATTACTGATATCAAAAGTGCAACTTGTGACAGCGATTGATCCTTTTCAAAAGGATGGATCTTACTTGATTAAAATCAAAAGAATTTTTAGGTACCGTTCTTCTTAAAAATGATTAAAAGAACTTCGAGCAATTTGCGTAGTGAGAAATTTTCTCAGTGAGAAATTCGTAGGCCCCAGTTAACAGAAGGTCTCATACAGGCAAAACTAATGGGAAAACAAGAAGACACTAGCTAAGGGCCTGCCGTAAACTGAATGTTGTATAATCAGAAAATGTCGTAAAAGGCTCGGAGATGTCTGATTCTTTTCAGAAATTTTTGCTCTACGGGATGTATGTATTTACAAGGACTTTCTGGATTGAACTCGGGGACTTGATTTTCTAAGATTTTGGTCTTCCAGAGGCCCTGATTTCAGGAATCTTGATAAAACCTTTTTATACAGCACATCAGATCGAAAATTCTTTCTGCCGTTTAAATCCTTTTTCAGATTTGTTTCAGCTATTATGGTCGACGAGAAAGATTAAGAATAAAGGTCGAGAGCAATTTTTGGATCCACTGTAGGATTAAGTGGCGCAGTGTTTAATACCCATCTAATACCATCTTATAGAGCGTTTCACGGCACATCGAATGGTGTACTACACTAGGCTAAATACGAGATAGTTCACGAGAAAATTGTGTGACGGGGGTGTTTTTCTGCCAGTAGATTTGGTCGTATACGTCCAGCCGCAATCGCTCCATAAAGGCGAAAGCACCAAATTAGATAACTGTGATGAGTTCTAAGTAACGGTTTTTTTTTAATGTTTTCACAGTAAAAATGAAATTAAATAATAACTTGTTAATTGGAAATTAAATAGGTTTGAAAAATGCCTTAGCATCAATTCAGCGATTTTGTTCGTCTTTAAGGAACTCATTGAACATTACAGGTTATGTCAAAGTTGGTTCTTACTATTTAGTTTTGCATGCTGAATCAAAATAACACAGTTTTGAAAAGTAAGAAGACCGCTGAATTTGAAATTTTTGTGTTATTTTCTTGTAAAACCTATTTAAGAACACTGCTGACACTTTCGTAGGTAGCTCGGTGAGTTCTATCCAGCCATGTGAATAATAAGCGGAAAAAAAGATTTTCTTCAAATTTTGAATTATCGATACTTTAAATGTTTTATTTTATTTTGTTAAGCTTACATTTGTTTCCAAAACATAATATTCTGTTTTTTCGATGTCCAGCTATCTTATGTCTACAAAGAAGGTGAAATTAATTATTTAATAATCATGAACGGCAGCTTTGAAGCTTCTAATTAAATCTTGACGCTGATTCCAGTTTCTTTATCGGCGCTGGCAGTTGCATGGCTGAGCTTCTGAAAGAAAAATAACAAATTATTTTCGTTAGACTCTGATTCATTAGTGTTCCGCTAGTGTTCTTTCTTCCAAGATGCGCTGATCCTTACAAACGTCTAAAGCATGAATAAAGTGAAAAGGTAAGCGGCCAAATGTATATAATCGTGTTACACATTAAACAACGATTCTGTTACCCATGTCATGTGCGAAAGAACGGTAAAGAATGCATCTATGTGGAGAAAACATGAAGGTAATAGAGAGAA